TCCGTTATTTCCAAAGCACCACTCATCAGAATCTAACCTTGATAATCTCCCTCTTAAATGCACAATCGTCGATGCCTACAAACCTGCAACACTCTACATGACATGAAAGTACAACACTTCTTACAAATATGGTAAAGCCGAACTAAATTCAAATTCCACGACGATCTGAAAAGAATGCTTGAAGAGGGTACCTTCCAAAAGAGTAATGTAATTGTAAAGACAAAAAGGACAATCCAAACATCTGACTGAAAAGCAAAGTGCCCTACAAAAAAATTAGACGTAAGATTACGATAGCTAAAATAGTGCCCGCAAAACCACCACGCGCACTTAATTTTGCAATAGTGTCATTGGGTCAGATTAGCTACCAGTTTATGATGCGCTCTGTCGGTGACGAGAGAAAGTGGAAAAGGGGCCCCATATGGGCATATGGCATGGGAGGTCTTTTTCACTAAGGCAACTCAGCCACCATCAATTCGGAGTAAAATTGGGAGCGGTAGCAGTGAAGATAGGTGTTAAGGGAGAGAAAGTGGAAAAGGGGCCCCATATGGGCATATGGCATGGGAGGTCTTTTTCACTAAGGCAACTCAGCCACCATCAATTCGGAGTAAAATTGGGAGCGGTAGCAGTGAAGATAGGTGTTAAGGGGGAGAGTGAGCACAAACCCAATTTCAACAAACATCTCAACATTTGACCATGCCTGCTGCCATGGAAGTCCCTTCTGAAGTGGAACTCAACTTCATTCGTCGTCAGAATTGGCGTGTTTGGAAAACCTTTATTCACGACTGGACCACTCCTAAAGTCTCAGGAAATTTTAGCCGTATTCTAATGCTTGACTCAGGGAAGGTCCAGAGGAAGGAGGTAGAGGGGTGGGCTATTTAGGAGAATTCAGAGAGTCTGATGAATTTCCTTACTACAAATACTGCAATTGGAACAGACTGTAGGCTGATCGTACAGGGCCCAGATTATATGAGGGATACCTTAAGTGATTTCAACCCAGCTGTACATACACTTGTGAAGTGGTCAAGGATAAGGAGAGCCTGGCTCTTCCTGGTGGAGGACTAACAGAAAAGCTAGTAACGCCTCAAAAGGCCAAGAGTAGCTGGAGTTGGGGGTTTGGTCTTTTCGATTACGTGGTGGTCTTCAGATGCGCTGGAATTGAACCATGAATTCATCCCTATCAACCATGTTTATTATTTATTTACTCGACCATTAAGTTTCACCACCTATATGGATACAACGGCCAGGAGGGATCTCTCCTGAGTATTGCACTGCTNTTAAGTTTCACCACCTATATGGATACAACGGCCAGGAGGGATCTCTCCTGAGTATTGCACTGCTCCCAAATCAAAGATCCAGAACTCATTGGGACATTCAGATACGACCTCCATTTGCTGATGGAGACCGAATGCTACCACTCGACAAAAACTCCGTGCCCCCGATTCTCTGCAAAAGGATGAGTCGCTCCTTCTTCTTTCTTCTTTGTCCATTTTGCAGAAAATATCTTTTCGATATGGTAGGCGCCAGTGAAGTTGTGATATGTCTTGAACAAGTTCCCCGAATCGCCAACAACTTCGCCGTCCACCATAGATCTTAGTGTTTCTTTAGTGTCGAATCGGTTTGCTTTTAGAGACAAATGGTCTCTCGCGCTGCGATTTCTCGGCTGTCACAAAGGCCGTCTCTAAGAGCGAGTTCGTCGGTCATTTTGTCTCTTAACGGTTTCACCGGAGCTCCGGTTTCAGTCTTCCAATGTTTGTCTTGAACCGCTGCTAAAAAAGGTTGCACCGATTCCGATTTGTAAAGGCGTCCTCTAGTTCGTTCGTCTTCGTTTTAACCAGGACCTTCGATTTCTGCCCTCTTCTTGTCAATTTTTAAACTGAATGATTTTTTGAATACTGTAGTTAGAATTCTCAAAAACAGGATTACTGTGGGTCAGAGATTGCAAGGAGGTTCGAGGGCTCTACTTTTGTCTAATACGTACATTTTACTACTAAGTTTTGTTAGCTCAAATTTTAAATACGAACCGTATCCAACTCTGGCTCGAAGGACACAATCCAAGGACCTTATCGCAGGTAACAAAGCCCGTGCTACTATGTGGGTACCCAAGGTCCAAGGAAAAAAAGGAAATTCATATAGCTGATAACTGAGAGCCTTCAAGCAAGAGAGTTGGGTTCTTTACCAGTATTACTGAAACTCTACTGCTATCAACCATTTCATCATCAGTGTTCCGAAAAAGATCTAAGCCGCTATCTCAATCTGAGAGATTGCAAAACTGAAAGTCTACACCGCCGCTCTACCATAGAGTCTCCGATTCTTCAGATAGAGCAACGTCATTGTTAACGCATGGAAAAAAGTAAAAGGGCTATTTGACTTGCTTTCTGCAAGAACGGGTCGTGCTCGAACACAGGTTAGGTTCACAGTTGCCAGAAAAAGAAAAAGCGGCAGCAAAATCGTCATCAAAGGCTTGTAAAAGTTCGACGATTTTCACTGGGCTTGGAATGAATGCAGGCTAAACCTCCTACCCTCATTCCCCCACAAACATTCTGAGAAGCACCTGCGATTCCTTGCTGAAGCTGTAAAAAGTAATTATCAAACGTTTTCCAGCCGTGGAACGGTATCTATAACGTTTTTCGTATGTATCAGTTTCTGCGAAAACTCGTCCCATTCACAGTGCGACGAGTTTTTGATTCAGAATGTCCTGGTAAAACAACCGATCGAATCGCTTGGAAACCACAACAGTGATTTACAGCTCCCCGTTACTATTTCCTCTTCATATGAGACCGGTTGAGGGTTGGCTCCATCCAAGTTTCTACAACTGTGTATTCACACATTCATGGTCTTGAAAACTGGGAACTTTGTTGTAAAACTCAATTTTTAGAAGCAGGCCTGCTATTCTCAGCTGCATGCTGCTTCTAAAACTGAAGCAGATCAACCATGTAGCCATAGTCATGGAAAAACTAGCCAGAACGAGATGCTTTGCTCTGTCCATTCTTTGCAACAGTCACTTTTTACGTAAACAGGACTGGAAAGTGGTTTTCTTGCGGCCAGGACCACTCCTAAGGCCTTTTCTTCTTCTCCATAGCTTTGACTCCGCGCCGTCGCATTGGCTACTGTCTCTGTTGGTCGTCGCCAGTTCCTTCTACTCATGGGCTTCTTCTGCCCTGAGCTTGGTTTCATCGAGCCCTCTCTCCTGATCGCGCTAAACCACATTTCCTCGAGGCTTCTGAGGGCTTGGGTCCCCCCCCCTTTAATCTTCATACTCCATCGCTTTGCTTGCCAGAGTGATTCGGAGCCTTCTCGGTGCTTGCCCATAGCGCTTCTCCTCCCTGCCAGCCCAAAAAGCGACTGTTGCACAAGCATTACCGTTAGATGCCAGTTCATAGATTGGTAGACCTTTATAGGCCGCACCGACCGACCATCGTGACT